GTGCACAGACCCTGTGTCTCCCCTCGACGTGCCCGGACGCACAAGGCTGTGTCTGCATCCCAGGTCTCCCTTCTAAGTGTCGTGTTTCCCACTGCTTTCTAGATGGTTCCACGTGGATGTCACAGAGATCTCAAGTTCATTGTGCACAAATATCACTTCCTCCTCCTCTCAGTCCTGCCTCGCCTACATGTCCTGCTGTTGGCTAAGGACACGATGGCTCCAAGCCAGACCCGTCCGCTCCCGCCCACCACCAGCTCTGATGGGCAGGCAGGGCCCCAGCACCCCCCCTCCCCAGCACAGTGGGTTCAGACCCCCGCGTGCCCTGTCTCGGCACACAGGTGCCACTCTGCCACTTGCTCTGCGCTCATCTGCTTCTGTACCCGATGTAGGTTTGGCCTGTCCCCATGTCTCTGGCGTGACGCTGAGATGGCCACAAAGAGCGTTTTGTTGTGTTTTGTTTTTCCTGGAAGGAGGAGGTGGCAGGTGCCCTGGCCGGCTGGCCTGCCTTTATTTTCTCTAGGCAGGCCCCAAATTTCGTAGCTAAACTTGAATTTCAAAATGCAACGTTTCTTTAAAACGCTCAGCATTCCCTTTGTTAGCTCAGATTCTTGGGGAAAGACAGTCGTGTTTGTCTAATTAGCCGAATGGAACAGTGAGGCCACATGTGCACGGTTTATCTCTTTAAGGGTGTAGATTGCTATCAGCCTCCTTACTCGTGAAAAGTAACAGCGAGCGAGCACCTGCTCTCACACACAAGCCTTGTGCATAAACTCACACGCCAGGTGACACCATGTGTGTCCCGCGTGAGCGCCCGCCCCACCGAGGGCTGGGTACCCGCAGTGTCCCGGCTGTGGGTTTGGTGACAAAGTGACGCTGGAGGAAGCCAGGCAGCGTCTGGAGGAACGAGGAGCCTGAGGTGTCGGACCGGGCGGGGTTGGGGCGGAAAGTGAGCGACTTCTGTTCCTTTGTGCTTTGATTTGTCTCACGTGCCTGGGTCAGTGGCAGGTGTGGGACAGGCGGCAGGGGCTCTGTGTTTGCTGAACCAGCGGTGGGTCTCGAACGGCTGGGTCACGGCGTGGGAGCTGCCCTGACCTCCGGTTCACAGCACCCTGGACAGTGAGCTGAGGGTCGAGGAAAGAACACCCCGGGATGGCAGGTGCCCAGGACACGCGGGTGTGAGCGAAGCGTGTGCCTCTGCTCGCTGCCCCCCCCCCCCCGCATACACCCACTCGGGGCTTGCCCATGCTCCCCAGACCTGGACTCTTCACTTCCTTTGTAACATCAGAAAGGCTCAGATGTCATGGGAGGGCTGACTTTTCTTTCCTGCTGAGATTTGCATCTTTACTGCCCTGGGGTTCCTTTGCATCCTGCTTTCCCCTCCCGTGGTCACACCCCTGGGAGTCACCACCGTGTGCAGTTTCTTGAAGGTCTTAAGAACCTTGAAAACTTAGCTCTCTTCCAAGGAGGGTTTCAGATGTTGCTTACGTCTTTTAATTGTAACTAACAGCCAAAATTAAAAGCCTTATGAGGAAGAAAAAGATTCTGCAGAGTCTGGGTGGAATGAATACACCCTGGTGGGTACTGACTTCATTCTCCGGAAGTCCCTGTGTTCTGAGGTCGCCTAAACAGCCGTCCCCGCGCCCTTGGCGTCTGTACTGCTGCAGGTCAGCTGAGGCTTTACCCCTTTGGAGAACCATGGGCATCACTTGGATATTCTGAAAAACTGACAGTTGGGCTTGTTCGCTGCCTGTAACCCTGTGCGGTACTGCGTCTTGTTCGTGCATTTGCTCACCAGCCTCCTTCTGCAGGAAGAGAGGACGCGGGGAAAAGATCGTGATGCCGACCGACTTTCTCCTTTCCTCAGTGCAGCGGCCACCTCCATCCATAGTCTGCGTGCTGCTTATCAGACATCCCGTGCAGGGGAAATAGCAGGGTGACTTTTCTGTGACACAACACTGTTAGACACTTGGCCTCATTTCTTCACGATGGCCCTCTGAGGTGTTTTCTGGGGAACAGAAAGCTGGACGTCTGAGGGGACAGGCGACGTGGAGGCCTCGCGGCCGCTGTGGTTGGTGTTGGGTTTGAGCCCAGGCCTTCGTCAGCCGAGCCTGTGAACTCGGGCTCCTCCACTTCCATGCTCGGGGGCGTGCTGTCTGTTTAATGAGTTTTGGTTAACTATCCTAGCAGATGCCCCAGGACGTTTTCAAAGCTCTTTGTGTCAAAATGTTCATTTTTCTTTTACCAACTGATTTTGCAGCTCATCTGACGGATGCAGAGCGTCCTTCTGTCCGACCCTGAAACGGGAAAAGAGGCCCGTTGACGTTGGTGCTGGGTGCAAAACCTCATCCCCGTCCTGTCTGCGTGGGACCCACTCACGGTCCAGACATCCTCCCCGCAGACCAGGTGGGCCAACAGAGGGCGTGGGGCGATTTCTCAATGGCACAGCCCCTCCCAAGGCTCCTGTTTGTGGGGACAGAGAAGAGTAGGTGGGGGTCCCAGGGTGCTGCTGGCCTTGGCAGCCCGTCTGTCGCCAGGCCGCACAGCAGTGACAGCTCTGCCCCAGGGTCCCTGTGGAGTCTGACGTGTGGGAGCCGAGCCTGGACAGGATGGGGCCGCCCCATCCGTCTTCAGTTACCCTCCCATGAGTTCCCAAGTGGTCGCCGTTTTAAATCTCCTTGCACATTTCTCACTTGGGCTGTGTTGGCACGGCCACGACGTGTAGGAAGGTTCCACCTGTGTTTGTGACAGAACGGAGCCACCCAGTGATCGTCTCCCCTGAGTGTCTCGCTGTCTTGCTTCCACGCCTTCTTTCAGTATCGTTCACCATCCTTATTTCTGTGTTCATCTTGCCAGACGGTACTGAAATGATTGGAAAACGTACCCGCTGGGACGATTGCTCCCGTCTCCCAGGGCCAGGCTGCTGCTCCGGGCTCTTTCTGTCCTGGACACACCCAGGGAGGGCAGGGTGGGGCCGAGCGTACTTCTCACCTCACCCTTCCCGCGACCCGGTCTAGGCATTTGGTGTTTAATTAATTGATCCAGGAAAAGAAACCCAGCAGTACACGAAAACAAGTCATTGTGTATCTAGGTCATGGTCACAAGGGTGAAAAAGCAAACACGTAAACACGTAGTGTTTGATTATGATAAATATATCATCCACATTTTCTTTCCCCACAAAGGACTTAAGACAACTTACCTACTTAGCGCTGCAAGAACATAAAAAGACTTTTACTGTGAGGGTGTCTTTTCCAAAGCCATCTATGAGAAATAGCGTTATGACCAAGTGTGGGCAAACGTGCAGATGGCTTCGCTGTACAGGAGCCTCAGTGGCGTGCGCGGGCAGCTGTGACTGTCCTGCGAGTTTGCTTTTGTTTGCATTTGGAAACGGTGGGTTCTTCTGCTGGACGGTGAGCAGGAACAGTCTGAGACGGGCTCTGGGTTTGGGCCTGTGATGATGGGTGATGCTGGGGACCCTGTGGGGCCAGACAGTGTTGAGAGGAGTGGTCAGCCGTTTGGTTAAAAAGAAAGGCGCATCCCAGGTTCATTCTTTCCTCCCCCAAAAATGTTTGGATGAAGAGAAGTTAAAAGTGAGAGAAATGAAACTGTAGAATTACTGAAAGGAAGTATGCGTATTTAAAAGGTTATCTTAAAGTGGGAAAAGTTTGCTAAATATGATAATAAATACAGAGGCCATTTAGGGACAGACATTTTATCCTTCCAGCAGAGCAAACAGAAAATTATAAAACAATAGCACTAACGGTAAATGACCCTTTTTCACGCACTTCACAGTTTCTAAGTCAGCTTGACTTCTTGATCCTCTTCCTTAGTGTTGGGGGAGGGGGGCCTTGTTTCCTGTGTCCGGGCGGAGGCCCCCTCCCTTGGCTGAACTGCTCAGCCCCCCCACAGCGTCTGTCCTCCTCCACCATCCTGCCGGCTCCCCCCAAGCTGAAGACCCCCGCTGAGCTGGCTCCAGATGCTGGAGTTGCTTATCGCATCTTGTGGAAGGGAAAACTCGCTTTCCCTCCCTTTTTCAGAATTTTCTTGGCCTTTCTTCTATATTTTCTTTTCTAGCTGAATTTTAGGCCCAGTTTTCAAGTTCATCCTCTTAGAATGTATGCTGGGCAGTCACTGAACTTGATTTTATGAAAATTGGCATCTTCAGACCCGATGTTCCTTCCTGGCACGTGTCGTTCCCTCCATGACCTCAGCTTTTCTGTTTGTCTCGCAGTGAAGTGTTCTGGGTTTCTCCGTGTACGTCTTGTATGTCTTGTCAGGATTACTCTCCTCTTAGACACGTGGGGGTTTTGTTGAAACTGTAAACAAGGTTTTGTTTTCCGTTCGGTTTTGTCACTGGTATTTGCCTAGGGCAGGAGCGTCCCAAAGTTTCTTTGTCTTCAGCTGTGTAACATTTCTGGGCTTGACATTTATTTGTTTATTTTACTGAACACATTGAGTATGAAGGTTATTTTTGTGAACAGCCTTGCAGTTTATAATTGAGAGTGTCTTCGGTCCCAGGAAGTCCTACACGTGTGTATAGAGGCGAGGTGCCCCCGGCCTTCCCAGCCCCCACAGACCTTTCCACAAGGCCCCAGGTCCACAGCCTTCACCGAGGTCAGCAAAGTCACAGTCCCCTCAGCCCCGGCTCCCGTGTATGTTCACACTGCCTGAGTGCCACCCCCGTGCACCCCCAAACCTAGGCCTGTGTCCTCCTAAAACGCAGTCGCCCCGTGTTCTGCGCGTTTCGGCTGAGGACTGGCCGCCGTGGGGGAGCCGGGCTGTTACTTGTTGACCTTACCGGTCAACTGGCTCCTGTCTCAGCGTCGTCACGTGAAACGTTGTCAGCAAAAGCAGCTATTTAAAGGGAAGGGAATGTTATAGCCTCTCCTTGCTTTCCAATTGCTTAAGAAAATTACCCGAAGGCCTTCCAACCTGCGCTGCTGACGACACTGACGGTGAATTCTGTTGTCTTTCCTAAAACTAATGGCCCTCCTCACGGACAGGACCTGCAGAGCTGGGTGAGCAGCGCCGGGGCACATGGCTTCGTCCTCGTGTCCTTTGGAGCGGGGGTCAAGTACCTGTCGGAGGACATCGCCGGCAAGCTGGCCGGAGCTCTGGCCAGGCTACCCCAGAAAGTGATTTGGAGGTAAGGTGACAGCAGGGCGCCCTCACTGCGGGCCCCTGGGGCCCCTCTTGTCCTGCAGCACAAGATGCCCCTGGGTCTTCCCTCTGTTTCTGAGTAGTGGGGTCCAGAGCTGAGGACAGGACTGAGCGGAAAGCCCGCAGCGCAGGAAGGAGACCGACCAAGGGGGATGATGGGCCCTGCGCCCGTCTCCTCACTCACCGTCACTCCCATGGTACCATTTCAGCCCTTGGGGCTGCACACGCCCGTGCGCCCTCAGTCAGCGTCGGGGTGAGGTGGGGTGTGGAGGAATGAGGAGCGAGGTCCCGTACTCCGGGGGGCCTTTTGGGTCCCACCTTGTCTCCTTTATAAATGCTCTTTTTTTTTTAAATCCAAGAAACAGTCTTTGAAAACATAATAACCTGCCACTAAACGCTGGTAAAACAGGCCATGGGGACCCCAGCTTCCTCTGGGAGGCGCTGCCACGTGAACCTGCCTCCGGGGTGTCCAGCCCAGTGTCACATTGGCCCTGACACTTTGTGTCGTGTGTGAGGACATGCCACCAGCGCTGGGCCCCAGGAGCACGGCGTGAGCGACTGTGGCCCGCAGAATGAAGCCATAGCCGACTGAGGAACAGAGCTCTCTGGGGCGCTGTGTGAGGACAGCTGCTCCTGGCCGGTCCCCCCAGTCGGACTGCAGTCCTGTTGGTTCCTGTGTTAGGCTCACCCAGAAAGCACCCTCTGCTTTACTGGGGAGTTCATGTCCCCTAAACCTTTAAGGTTTGTCTTTCACAGATGAAGGCAGGACATGGCGTGACCATGGCCTGCGCCCCCCGAAGTCCTGTCTGGGCCGGGCTGCAGGAGGCCACGCTCACTTTCTGTCCGTCCGCAGCCTTCCTTCCCTAGGCCCCGTCCAGCCTGCAGCTGCTGACTGCTCCCCACCTCACCTCCGGGGCATGGTGGGGACGGCTTTCTAGCACAGGCTGCCTCGGTTGCTTTTCCCCAGCTCTCTGTACAGGTGAGGCGCACGAAGGAATCAGGCCTCATATAAGCAGAGTGTCTCCTGTTTGTCCTCAGTCAAGAAGGAAAAAGAAACTCACCATGTTTAAGTTGCCAGGAGAGCATGGTTTCCTTCCTAAGAGTGTAGACAAAAGATCATGTAACGTTCATTTTCAGTGTAATAATTTAAGCAGCAGTAAAGTGTGAGTTTTGAGAGATTTGTTGTCTGCTGCGCATTTCAGGTTTTCTGGGCCCAAACCAAAGAATCTGGGGAACAACACGAAGCTCATGGATTGGCTGCCGCAGAACGACCTGCTGGGTGAGTGGACGCCGCCGCGGGCCTGGGCCCGTGCTGTGACGTGGCGTGACATCATGTCACATTCGCGTGCGTGCCTCATGCCACCCGAGCCCTCCAGCCTTAGACATCTCGCCTGCAAACCAACCTGATTTATTGGAAAACCCTTGGAAAAGTAGGATTGTTTGGGCCCATAAATGCAAAGTTTTAGGCCAGTCACCCAGTTTGAGTTCCTGGAAAGTGCCCTTGACGCATGCTGTAAATTAGTAGTGGGTCAAGTTATACCTAATTAGGCTGAGAAGCTGAAAGTAATAATGGAAACAGCACATGTGGACGCGCCAGGCTTTTATTACAGATATGCCGGAGGACCGAGCGCGCAAAGGCACCCGCTGCTTGAGGCCAAAGAGTCAGCCAGCTTATGTTAAATGTATTTGCATCGTCTGCCCAAGTTACCCCTAAGTCACAAGGCATTTTGAAACACTTTATTTCTTTTGATTTATTTATTTATTGGGATTCTGATACTCGGCTCAAAATCAAAATAACACTTACATGCATTTTTCCTAAGATGTTTAAGTAATTTAATTCTATGTTCAGTAAGCAGAGACAGTAAAAATGTAAATTGTTTTATTCATTATATTTCTGGGAGAAAGTAATGCCATGCTACCCTTTAAGATGTTATTTATTATGGAAATTATAAAAATGTTATTGATTTTTGTCAGTATTGACCATCATTTTTCAGTAATGCTAAAGTTTTAACAAATTATGTAAAGTGGCTTTAAATTTTAAATTATAATCTTAAAAATGGGCTTTTAAAAGGTATCTTTTTAGAAGCTAAAAGGACCCCTCATAATTAGTAAATTGAATTTTGTAACCAAAAAACAGTAAGAAATTTTCTTTATACATACAATTAGTTTTCATTATTCACTGTATTGTATACAAGATGAAACTGGGGAAACACAGGGTGTGTACCTTCCTCAGTGCTTGTGTTTCTTTCTTTTTCTTTGTATGTCTTTACTGTTACGACTTCAGAGTCCACAGAAGGTAGGAGACAGGCAGGAAACTTAGTGGGATTCTGGACGGTCAGCAGTGTGTCCGTGCAGCATCTGGGGACGTGTGAGGTGTTGTGACAGGTTTGCTTGAAGGCCCCCAGCAGGTGCCACTCCTCAGAGGGCCACACCCAGGCCCCCAGCAAGTGCCACTCCTCAGAGGGCCACACCCAGAGCCCGCCCTAAGCCCAGAGCCTCCTGCAGCCCCAGCGTGGCCTTTGTGGCTCTTCTGTTGCTTCGCCCTGTGGTCAGGAGGCTCCTGCAGGGTAGCCAGCCGGTATCTTCACCCCTCCCGCAACCCCCCTCCCCCGTTCTCATGCCGGGCTGGTGCTGAGGTCCTGTGCGGACAGGAAGTCAGGGACCCACTGTGAGGGCCGGTCCCAGAGTCAGGCCTAGTGGAGAAACCACCTGTGGGTGAGGTGAGAGCGAGAACAGTGACCACCCGCTGGATGCTGGGTGGGGGCGTCCTGGAGCCCCGCCGAGCCCGTGTCCTACATGGCCCACATGTACTCAGAGGACTTGCGTTTTGACAACAGGTGTCTCTCTGGCCACGCTCCCTGGTCCTGCTGGCTCCATGGGTCTGTCCACCCCTTGGGACACATGGGCCGCTCACAGGGAGACGTGGGTTTGAAATCCCCCTTTCATCGCCATGACAACTAGGTGTCACGTGATGTCCCATGTCCTACCAGGAGGCCTTGTCAGCATGTCCCCTCTGCTTGCGTACCTCCAGGGTAGCTGGACGTAACACCTTGAGGCGGGGCAGTGGAGCACGCACACTGCTTGTGGACTTCCAGAACCTGCCACGCCTCACAGATGGCTTCACAGTGTGTGTGGCCTCAGCATAGATGAGCTCTCGGGCAGTGGGGAGTGGGGTCTGCGGCCCTGGGGGGTGGCAGGGCGTCTTTTGTCACCCCTGCTGTCACTGACTTCCTGTCAGTTACTGGCCATCTGAATAGATGTGGGGGTCAGTTGATGTTTGTGTTTGAGAGAAAGCTGTAAGTCCTAGCCCTTTAAAAGTGGCTTTGACCTAACGTACAAAGCAGGTAATCCCTTATGTTTATCATAGTGCCGACATTTAAGAGCTTTCTGGAACATGGCTTCCTGGAGTGACACAGCCTTGTCAGCAGTTACTTTTCGTCCTGTTCTAGGCCATTCACGTATTAAAGCCTTCCTCAGCCACGGCGGCCTGAACAGCATCTTTGAAGCCATGTACCACGGCGTGCCTGTGGTGGGCGTCCCGCTGTTCGGGGACCATTACGACACGATGACGCGAGTGCAGGCCAAGGGCATGGGGATCCTGCTGGAGTGGAAGACGGTCACCGAAGGAGAGCTGCACGAAGCCCTGGTGAGGGTCATCAACGAGCCCAGGTGAGCGTCCTGTCAGGCTGAGGGTGGGCAGGACGCACCGGCCACAGCGTGTCACCCACCACCTGTGGTGCCAGCAGCTGATGGTGGAGCAGCCATGGAGCTGTCCTCAGGCCCTGCGGGGACTGCCCTGCACTTGGGGAAATGAAAGTAGCCGTCCTTTGCCCAGCGTGTTTGACCTTGAAGCATATTCTACCGGGATTAGCCAGGCTCCGTGGGAGCGTCCTGGTCCCCGCAGCGTGGCAGACTTGTGTCCTCCTCTCAGTGTGACACTCGTAATGACCGTATGGCCCATTGCCGTCATCCACACTGTGGAGACGAGGCACCTGACACCAAGGCCACGGCTCTCGGAGCAGAAACCGAGCCGGGACTGACTCGAGCGCTGGGGCCCTGCCCTGGGTGTCACGGAAACCCCGAGGTCCACACAGGTCAATGGCTAGTGAGAATTTTTAAAAAATTTGTGGCGTGTCTTGAGTCGACCCAGTTCTCAGCGGAGTCTCAGAGGGTGGCGAGATTGCCTTTAGGGAAAGCTACCGTTTCCCGTTTCTGCGTGGCATTTCAGTGATCCTGTGTGTCAGGTGACACCAGTTCGGGAGAGTGTAAGCGTTCCCTGTTCCTACCTGGGGGACATGGCAGAGCCTGGGCGTGAGAACCACAGCTGTGGTCTGAGAACGCCGACGGTAGGACAGAGTCTTTGGTGTGAAGTCACAGAAAAGCTGCCTTCCAGCACTCTGAGGTTTGTCATGCCGCCTGTGGGCTCGAGGTCCTCCATGCGCTGACCCCACCAGGACCAGCGTGTTGGCCGTGGCTCTGGCACTTGGAGCTGTCTGTCCTGTGACCCATCCATGGCCCTCAGTGCCCCTTTTTGAGCCCAGTGTCCTGCAAATGTGCTGTCCTTATGGAAAATGACACCAGTCATGCGGGTTCTATTGTAGGACAGTGTGTAAAGCGCAGCTGTGAAGTCGGGTCTGGGGAGATTCACAGAGCTGCTCCGGTGGTGGCTTATGCAGAGAGGTGACCCCCAGGTCACCAGCCTGCTGTATCCCCTGCAGACCATGGTCACGTCGGACATGGCCACCCTTAGGTCAGTGCTGTGCAGTCCAGTGGGGCAGCCTTCAAGGATGCAAACCGCTTGATTTCAGAATATGTTTTCTTTTGTGTGGTGCGTAAATTTATACCCTTGCACAAAGTATGCAAATGAGATCAATAATATTTAGAGAAAGGCTCTTTGTACATTCAGAGTGGGAGGGTCTCGTATTCAGATGATTTAGGTGACGTGGGCTTTGCTACCAGTCGCTGTATGTGACGATTTTCCAGTGAACACGCAGTGATACTGTAAAGGCGGACTTGCTCCGCTGATACTGGCTGAGCTGCTTCTGTTAAAATCATGTAGCCAGTATGACTCGGGAAGCATTGGTGTTATTTTTTTACCCAGAACTTTAAGGAAATCCCTTGTTGCACATCTTTTGAACCGTCATCTGCCACTCTTCCTGTCTGTAAGCCTGTCCCCAAAGCTCTAACTTCCTGGCTCCTCAGTTCTGAGAACCAGGCTGTGTGTTTGTCCTTGTGACACCCACGAGCGACACTCACCTTCCTCCAGTCTCACCTCCACCCAGACAGCCCCAAACGTCACGCTTGTCCCCAAGGCCTTTGTCCTGGGCACATTGCTGCTCTCCCGCCCTCGTCACTCAGGTCGCACTCTTCCACAAGTCCAGACGGGTCCCCTGCGAGGCACAGCTGTAGGGCCACATCCTCCATGGTGTCTTTTGTCACCGGGAGGAAGTCCTTTGTGATGTTGGAGCAGGCCCAGCTCCTCCCAGGGTCCGTGCCCACAGGGGCTGTGGCGTGTGTGCAGGGCCGGCACACAGATGTGCAGCTGCGTGTGTTAGAACGTTCACAGTGTTTCAGTTCCTGCGGTTAAAGGGTTTGTATCGACTGTTTAGGAGGCCGTTGTCTTGACGCTGCCGCAGTGCCCGCGGGTAGATGTTGCGTGTTATGGAGCTCGCAGTGCCACGCATGCTCAGTGCAGCTCTCAGCGCCTCGTCCTCCGTTAGCAAACGTAATGGCCTCGCATCGTCACTTACATGTCACTGCTACAAGCAGGTGTCGGGACACGGTGTGCGTTTCGCGCCCAGCGTGTGATGACTCGCGCATTCCTGGCCGAGCTCGGTGACTAGGCAGTGGTGTTTGCAAGCGCGTGGCGTTGGAGGCAGCGCGGGCTTCGCGGTCGGACGGGCTGCGCCTCCCGCCAGGGCCTGGGTCTCCGGTTGCATGTTCCCCACCGTCTTAGGTCGTGTTTCCTCGTGTCCACATGCGCTGATGTGACACGCTGCCCGGCACGCAGCAGGCCCG